CTTACCGGACGTGTCCTGTATTTGCCCAGTATCTGTAAAAATGTTGTTCTCGGGTTGGTTCGTCGGGAGTTTCGACGTAGGTCGGGAGTTCCGACGGTCGGGAGTTCTAGCAAGGGTCGGGAGTTTCGACGTCTCACACTTTAACTGTCTTGGAGGGTTCACTGTCCTGGTCATACCGGACGTGTCCGATATTCATACCGGACGTGTCCGGTATGGACGACCAGAGGCCAACGGCTAGTTTTCCAAAGCCTTGAGGGTCGGGAGTTCCAACGTGAGTCGGGAGTTCCGACGGTCGGAAGTTCCGACATGTGTCGGGAGTTCCAACACCTCATATTCTTTAACTCAGTTACATGGTTTTCAAATTTGCTGAGGGTCGGGAGTTCCGACGTTAGTCGGGAGTTCCGGATGTCGGGAGTTCCGGCATTCATTGGGAGTTCCGACGCCTCACAACTTCACTGTAACTTAGTTACCATTGGGGCAGTGTAAGTCATACCGGACGTGTCCAGTATGCATACCGGACATGTCCGGTATTGCAACGGCTAGTTTTTCAAGGGGGCTATAAATACCCCCAAGCCTCCACCTTTGGAGGCTGCTGATTCTGCTAAGATAGACACACGTCTTTGAGCCTTGCCAACTCTCCTAAACCCTCTCTTAGTGAGTGTGTGATCCAAATTGCAAAATCAATTTGTGGGTTAAGAGAGAATTTGAAAAAGAGAGCAAGCCACCACTTGAGCACTTGTGCATATTGTCAATCTCGTGATTCGCATTTGTTACTCTTGGACTCTTCGGTCCTAGACGGTTAGGCGTCGCCGGAGAGCACCCGAGAGATTGTGGTGTGCCTCGGAAAGTTTGTAACGGTCGATTCCGCCGCCTCAGAATCAAATTAGTGGAAGGAGGAAAAGGAGTTGGAAAAGACTCCGGCTAGAGTGACCTTCATGGTACCCTCTAGGGCTGACCTTCGCTGGGTCGCCCGCAGCCGCCTCAACCGAGAGTAGGACTCGAACGAGTCCGAACTTCAGTAAAACAAATATCATGTCTCAATTCGTATTTCATTTGATATTTGTGTTGCTCTAGCTATTCTGCAGGTTCTCTATGTATATTGTCATCTCCATTAGGTGCCTGCAGTTTGGTTTGAAGATAGAAATCGAAAGGAGCAAGTTCGGGGCCGATCTGCAGAAATCGTGTATACCGGACACGTCCGGTATTTCCTGCCTGCACTGAAAATATTTATTCTCTGTTCTAACTTGGTGTTGCAGGGTTGTAGCTTCTAGATATATTCTTTATACCTTGTTTACTCTGTGGCTAACTTGTGAGGGGTGGTAGTACTCTTAATTTGGAGTTTCCATTTTGGAAACTCTCATTTCTAATTGTTTCCGCATTTAAAGGTGTTAATTTTCAGAAACGCCTATTCACCCCCCTCTAGGCGACATCCTAGGTCCTTTCAGAGCGGCGAGGCAGGCCACCGCCCTTCGGTGCTGACTTGGGCTGCTTGCATTCCCTGGCGAGGTGGCAGAATCTACGTCAACACAGACAACGCTGTGGCAACTGGCAGGTTGCTACTCGGTGCGTGTAGGAGAGGCAGTTGAAGCATCTGCCGCAAAGCTGCGTGGGTATCTTCCGAGCCTGTGCGCGTAGACATGGGTCACGGCGAGGCTCAACTGAGGCAGCCACAGGTCCCACTTCCTATCGGGGTAGGATCTCCCGCCACCCTTCGGTGTAGAGGGTGGAGACCCACCTACGGTCGCCGAGGCGTTGGCGAGTAGGGACCTGACCATCCACTGGCCGAGCAGGCAGGCCGTGCACCAGCTAGGGGCGCAACCGCGTGCGCTTCCTCTGCCTTTGCATGGGTAGGCGTCTAGCGTCCGTTCCGCCGCGCCCCAGATACATAGCCGAACGAGTCTGGGCACACATGGGGGACGCAGTAGCCGGCTTCGCCAAATGACGAGCGGCCTGTTGGGTGCGCGGCGACGAAGCAATTAGACAACGGACATCATCGAGGTAGGTTGTGGGATGATCGCCATCAAACTCCTCGCCGTCATCGTCCACCCTCCGACGGTGCTTCGTATGCCTCCCGAAGGTGGGTAGAATGGAGCCGTGGTCGGTGAGAGCGTGGAACCCGACGTTGGCGGCATTGGGGATGGGGAGGGGGGGTCTGCGGAGATGCTCCCACATGGGCGGGGTCGACACTGGTGTTGGCCACGACAGTGAGGGCCGGCGATGTTGCCGGCGGGGATGGGGTGGTGGCAGAGCCTGGCCTCGGCGTTGGTTGTGGCGTGGATGGCCGCGGAGGGGTGTAGCTCTGGATCCCACGGGGATGGCCACGGGACTGCTGCTGTAGACCGTGGCGGTCATGGCGGCGGCTTCCGGCGTCGGCGGTGGCGCGGGCGTCCGAGGGTCCTGCGGAAGCGCTGGAGCGCCGGACACCACGGACCCCGCGTGGGCAAGCCCGACACTGGTGGTGGCCGCAGGACCCCACGTGGCGCTGTTGCTTTTTCATTTATTGAGACCAACTTTGACAACTAAAAAGAGTCATTTATTAGACCACAAATAAGTACTACTGTTTAGTGTTTGGCCCAGAAATCATCATTTTTCTTCTTTTATTTTTGGTGAACTCCATTTTCTATTTATTTTGTCGCATTGCTGTTACGTTAACCATTCAAAATAAAGGTATTGTTGGGGACAGTGTAGATAGTGTGACCACAAGATGATTCTTTTATTCCAATAGGAGGATCATTGATAGCTTTGCATATTTGGCTTTATTTGCCCCTTCACAAACAAGTATGTATTTTTATATGCATTGTATATATGCTCACGACATATATAAGAAAGGGTACAATTAAGGTTTTATAGTCGACTAACTTAGTGTATCTGTCATAGGGCATTTACAGCTCCATGAGCCATCTTATATATTGTCCCTGACATTTTACAGGTATTGGGGTCGACCTGCTTCGTCTTCTCCGAAGAAGTCTTGCTGCGGTGCTTGCCATCGCCACTGCCGCTCGAGGAGGCTACCTTCCTAAAGTTCCTCCGAGCAGCCCAATCCTCCTCTGTTAGCAGCAGTTTACCGCTGTCCTTCGTTGCTGTCGTCTGCTCCAGGCGCTCGTCTACCACCCGTAGACGGCCTGTCACATCCTCAATGGTGAGGGTGGAGAAGTCCAGCATCGTCTCTATGGAGAGAGCGATCTGGATGTACTTTGTCGGCATGGAGTGGAGGTACTTGGAGACCGCCTCCTCTTCGTCGATGGTGACGCCGTGGCTCTTCAGCTTGCTGATGAGCGTCTGTAGGCGGAGGGAGAAGTCCTCCATCGTTTCACCATCCTTGAATTTGAGGTTGACGTACTCCTGCTTTAGAAGCTGGGTCGTCGTCTTCTTTGCACGGTCGGAACCGACGCGCATCGCCGCAATAGCCTCCCACGCCTCCTTAGCAGAGCTCTTCGCCCCCAACGGCTCCCTGTACTCCGCCGGTACAGCAGCGAGGATGGTCTCCAACGCTGACATGTCATCTTCCTCATTGTCGGTGCCCTTATCAACAGCATTCCAGAGCCGTCGGGCTCTGAGATTGATTTTCATGGTCACCGACCACTCTCCATAGTTGGTGTGAGTCAGCATCGGCCAACTGGTGCCGCTGATCTCCCGTACCGTGCGAACAATGACCTCAGATCGTGGTTGGGCAGCCACAGCAGTGCCACTGCTGTCGCCCATTTACGAACCGTTCGTCATCGCCAGCAGTTAGTCCGGCGACGGCGCTTGTACGGCTCTGATACCACTTGTTAGCCCACAGGATTACCGGCTCAGGTGAGTCGATCACTCACCAATCTTGTCGAGCACCCGCTATTGTTGCCGAGCACCCACTAGCTATGTCGACCACGAACAAGCGTTGTCCGACCACACACTATGGTTAGAGGTAGAAGAAGATGGAGAACAGAGCATACACACACAGTACAAACACCAGTGTTGGCCGGAGCCCTGTATAGGAGATGACAAATCTGAACTATCTCTGTTGAGTTGTAGTGGCAAACTATATATACAAATCTATCCATCTAGTTCTAGTACAGTTGCCCTCCAGCAACAGTGAATAGATAACATAACAGGACTGACTTCTGCGCCTGTCCCTGCATGTGGCTATAGTCCGGCAGGTGAGCCATTCGGCGTCCGCCTCTACAGCGGCTATAATACCACACTAGAAGACATTTTCAACACCGCCTTTCCTTGTGCATTGACACAAGGAAGAAGATCGCTTCCCCACTTACAGGGCCAGCTTATGCAAATGACAACGATGGTTCCACCTTCGTTCCCGCAAGAACTCCACTATCTGAACAAGGAGGACAGGCTGCTTCGCTGGCTGGTTGTGAAGCACAGAGACGCTGTATACGGACTGGAGTTCGTCAATGAGGATGACGGGAGGAACGAGCTGAGCGGTTTCAGCCAGGCTCATACGAAGGATGACTACGATATCGAATATGACTCCGATGATGACCACTGGGACGACGACGACTCGGACGATGACGAGTATGCAATCGAGGAGGAGGAGGAGAAGGAGGAGGAGGAGAAGAAGGAGAACTGCTTGGCCAGGTTTCTGCAGTCTCATCTGTATTGGCAGATGCGTTTTCTTTGAAATCAAATTTTGTCTTTGTAATATCTCTTGACTTTTTATAACGTTGTAGGATAGGATGAGAGGCAGAACCTATCAACTTGATTGTAACACACTTTTGCATTGTCGAGCATGCTTGTCATTAGATGTTTCAGGCGTGCCCTGCTTCTTGGAAGCATGCTGTATAACGTTCTACTGCTGCTGACAGTTACTATCAGGTTCTATAGCAGTTTCAATGTTTGATCCATTCATACAACAACACAGGTGTATCATTTATTTCATCATCAATATAATTTTGTACAAAGAGGTGTTGCTGCTACATATATATGATCTGTGCCAGACAGGGATTGAAGCATCAGAATATGTCTACCGGCGGCAGGTGTGGTGAGGATCGATCATAATTCGGAGTTCAGAAGAGGTGATCCGCCGGCCTCGAGAGCCACCGGAAGATACCGCCTTCGTCCTCGTCGTCGGAGTCCGAGTCGGAATCGGAGTCGTACAGCCGCCTCTCGTCGTCCTCCGCCTTCCCCGACACGGCCGGCCAGCCCCAGCCCCTGCCCCACCCCTCCACGGTCGTCGTCTCCTCGGAGCTGGGCCGGACCTCTAACGCTGACGCGCCACCACTGGTCGCCTCCACCTCGCCATCCTCCTCGGGCAAAGCAAGCGCGGTGGTGCCCTGCTCATCGGCTTCTGCATCGGCACAGTCCGCGGCAGCCCTCACAGGCCTGGGCAGGGGCTCGACGGCCGCCTCGCGGTAGACGAGGACGACGGCGTCGGTCGCCCGTGCTGCTGGAAAGTCCACGGGGCGGCGCGCCGGCGCGGTGGCCATGAGGAGCAGCAGACTGCGATGGCGAGCACGACGGCGGCGCGGGCGCGGGCCATGTGGCTAAGCTAGCAGTTAGGAGTGACGACTAGAGCCAACGACGACGAGAGGGGGAGGGTGGAATGGACGGAGCCGGCGAGCATGAGAATGAGATTAGTATCAAATTTAATTTAATGGAGGATTTGGCGCTGGATTAGTCGCTTTCCCTCGTCGTTTTCGTGTTACGAGAGGGGAGACGACTAAGAGCAAGGGAAGCTAGGCTGTTGCTGACAGCACCATCGCTTGATGCACCAAATGGTTGCTATACGATCTATATTACTGGTTGGTTTTACGGTTGAGTTGGTTACCCTTAGAGCAGATCCAGTGTTAGACGAAATTGAGCCGAGGAAAAGCAAAATCGAACCGAGAACACTGGAGGCATCGACGGTTTGTTAATTCCAAACTCGGTTCGACTTGAACGCTGCAGCTGATATATTTCTTTCCTAGCTGACAAATTTGTTTCTCACGTTTCTGACCACACGGACTTGCAAGGAGAAAAAAACCAAAAAGAAGTGATATGTACCTGTTCGCTTGAAGTTATCAGCCATGATACAATGTTTTTCCCTTACAATAAAACAACATCAGTCGACTTATCAGCTGCAGAAACCATCAGCCGAACAGCTATACTTCTTTAATAGTCTATGAACATACACATACTGCAAGCCACCGAACAATCAAAACCCAAATTGAACCCTGTTCCCTTGGTTCGAATGCACTTAGCAGCCGGAAACGTAGAATAATAACAATGTTCCTCACTAGAATGTCGTTTTGGTAAATTTACGTTCCCATAGTATAATTTTTTTAAAGTATTGCTCAACGTTCATGTTTCATTTCTCATTCCTTTTCGAAAACATCACTACGGGAGAGCCTGGCTTTGCCGAGTGTCACCGGCTTTGCCGAGTGATCACACGTGAGATGTTTAGGTTTCTAATCATCCTACGTGACAACGTGCGCGAAATGTTCTCAAATTTTTACCATGGCCTCCACATATGATGTAAAGACGCGTCACCAAGTTTCATGATTTTTGAACTTCGTTTGCATTTTATATAATTAAAAAACACTTCACCCGCAATTTTGTCGCTATGTTTCGTGCGTGAGATGTTTGAAACTTCGGGCGTGCTCCTGGAAATGGCCTCAAAATACAATAAGTAACGCGAATATCATTTTTCCACTCGTCGAATTCCATGATTCGATGCACCTGCAGTTCAAACTTACATTTCCCGGAAAAATGCAATTAAATGGAATAAATTAAGGATATATAGCAAAAAGATTGAGAAATGTGCCAAATTTGAGGATGTGCTTCAACTTAATGTGTAAGGGCTGAAGAAAAAGTTTGGAGGCAAAAACAAAAAAAAATTATGCTTTGCCGAGTGCCAAACTCTAGCACTCGGCAAAGACTGGGGCACTCGGCAAAGGTGAAAGGTTTTTTTTTAAAAACGCGGACGATTTTGGATTTTTTTTAATCTGAGCTTTGCCGAGTGCCAGATCTGCGGCGCTCGGCAAATAGGTAAGGTTTTTTTTTTCTTTTAAGTATGGTTGTTTCTCTTTTTTTTTAAAAAAAAGAAAACTCTTTGTCGGGCGCCATATCTATGGCACTCGGCAAAGATATTTGAAAAAAATTAAAAATCCTTTGCCGAGTGCCAGTTCTCGGGCACTCGGCAAAGGAAAGGAAATGTCTACGTCGGCCCACCCCGAAGCCCCATCGGCCACACACACACCAACACGCCCCCGCACCCGTCTCTGTGACCCGCCGCCGCCGCTGCCTGGCCGCCCCCCGCCGGCGAGCCCCGCGCCCCCATCCCCACGCCGCGTCCCCGCCCTGCGCCCCCAGCACCGCCGCCTGCTGCTGCGGGCCCGCACCGCGCCGGCGGCCACCGAACCCGCCGCTCCGGCCTGCCTGCCCCACCTGCGCCTCCGCCGGCGCCGCTGAACGTCGGCGGCCCACTACCGCCGGAGAAGGAGAGGGAGGGCCGCCTTCACCTCCCCTCCCCATGGGGGCCACGCCTAGCCCCCCCCCTCGCCGTTGGTTCTTGGAGGGGAGGAGGCAGAGGTGAAGTAGGAGGAAGGAGACGAGGAGAAGGAGGAAGGGGAAGACAAGGAGAAGAAGAGGAAAAGAAGAGAAGAAGGGGAAGAAGGAGAGGAGGAAGGAGGAAGAAGGAGGAAGGGGAAGAGAAGGAGAAGGAGGAGTTCTCGGCGTCTTCTTCTGCACGTGCATGTCCCACCACCGCCCAAGGTATATGCACCGTCCCTTTGTGAATGTCGGCCTTCGTGCCGTTATTTTTTGCAGGTTTTGGAAACCACCCTGTACAGGGGAGGTTCTGCCGAAATTTTCAACTTATAGTGTTGTGTTTCTTGTTTTGCAGAGCAGGACCTGTCGGAGGGGACCCGTAGTACCTAGGCGACCCCGATCGTCTTCGTCGGTGCTACGGTCCTGCCTGCACAGCCTCGCCTCGCCACTGCACCGACTCGCCACTGCCCCGCTAGCCTGACTCCACCGCCACCCTAGGTATAAATAACCTCTCTTCCTTATTGTTGTTGTAGATCGGTGTAACCCAGTTAGGCGTCTCCCGTCCAAAAGAGATACGGTTGGAAGTATGCAGATCTTTGCATATGTATAACCGTATCTGTTTCGGATTGTCCACGTTTTCTGGACAGCCCGCGGATGCGTAGACGAGGTTAGTTTCCATGGTCTGCTCCAATCCGAGATAGAGTTTTGGCATCACCTCTATGTTGTTCTCCGGATACACACTCTCCCTGCCAGGACGTGTATATGGAGAACAACGGGGAGGTGCTGCCGAAATTCTGTCTCGGCTCGGAGTAGACCATGGAAACTAACCTTGTCTACGCATCCGCGGGTGGGATTAGGACCTATCCTCACCTATTAGATAGTAGGAACACCACGTAGATGCAGTTGATGGTTACGTTACTCGTTGATATCTATTTTAGAGGATGGATGACCGTGAGTGGATGTACACGGGATACAGAAGTCAGAGTGATTTCAGCACTGAATGGGGGCAGAAGACCGAGGCTTTCTTGGACCGTGCATTCGGCAGGGGTGCGAATAGAGCGCATCTAATGAAGTGTCCCTACAACATGTGTGCAAACAGAAAATGGCAAAAGAAGGACAACATGGGTATACATCTTCAGAAGCATGGCTTTATGCCAGACTATACCCGGTGGATCCACCACCGTGAAGCCCATCGGATGAGAGAGGAAGTGGTGAGACCACGCCTCAAGCATGTTGATGATGATGGCGGGGTTGTAGACATGTTAGATGACTATCAACAAGCACAGATCCCTGATGGACGTGTGGAGGAGACGGAGGCATCCGCAAAGGCATTCTATGACATGATGTCTTCGGCACAGAAACCCCTTCATGATTGAACAACGGTTTGTCAACTCGATGCCATTGGACGCGTGATGGGGTTCAAGGCCGAGATCAACATGGGTCGACAACACTTTGATGGTATGTTGGCCTTGATTGCTAGCATGCTTCCGGAGGGCCACGTTCTGCCAAAGAGCCTATATGAGTGCCAGAAACTCCTTGATGGACTCAAGATGCCTTATGAGCAGATACATGCTTGTTCGAATGGGTGTGTCCTCTTTAGGAAAGAACATGAGCATGAAAAGTACTATCCGAAGTGCAAATCCTCTAGGTACCTAGAGGTAGACTCTGGGGATGGCCACAAGAAGCAGCTTACCATCCCGATGAAAATCTTACGGTACCTCCCGTTCGTGCCGAGGATCCAACGGCTATACATGAGCGAGGAATCTGCTAAGCAGATGACGTGGCACAAACAGGGCACACAATACAATCCTGACAAGATGGTACATCCGTCCGATGGTGAAGCATGGAACCACTTTGATGGCATTCATCATGTGAAAGCATCAGAGCCTCGTAACGTACGTGTTGCGCTGGCAACAGATGGGTTCAATCCTTATGGTTTGATGGCTACCCCCTACACATGTTGGCCCGTGTTCGTCATCCCCCTCAATCTCCCCCCCGGCGTTGCATTTGAACGTCAGAGCATATTCTTGTCATTGATAATTCCTGGACACCCGGGGAAGAAGATGGGTGTCTTCATGGAACCTCTGATTGATGAATTGGTCAGTGCTTGGGAGGATGGGGTATGGACATACAATAGAGCTACAAAGACACCCTTCAAAATGCACGTTTGGTACCAGTACTCCATGCATGACTTCCTAGCGTATGGGATATTCTCTGGTTGGTGTGTCCATGGGAAGTTCCCATGTCCATTATGCAAGGATTGTCTGAGGTTCATCTGGCTCAAGAAGGGTGACAAGTATTCGTCGTTCGACAAACATCGTCAATTCCTCCCTCTTGAGCATCCATTCAGGCAAGACACCAAGAAGTTTACGAAAGGTGTCGTAGTGACGGAACCTGCACCACAGATGATGACTGGTGCCAAGGTTCATGCTCAAATAGATGCTCTCGTGGAGAATCAAGAAGGTGATGGCTTCATGGGATACAGCGAGGAACACATGTGGACTCATAAATCGGGCTTGACGAGGCTCCCCTATTTTGATGACCTTCTTATGCCACATTACATTGATGTCATGCACACCGAAAAGAATGTCGCCGAGGCACTCTAGGGAACAATCATGGAAACTGAAAAGTCAAAGGACAACCCTAAGGCTAGAGTGGACCTGGCAGAGTTGTGTGATAGACCACATCAAGAGATGCGTGCTCCTGGACACGGCAAAACATGGAAAAGGCCTAAGGCAGATTTCGTCTTGACCCCTAGACAAAGGAGGGAAGTACTCCAATGGATCCGGACGTTAATGTTCCCTGATGAGTATGCAGCGAATCTGAGGAGGGGAGTGAACTTAACTACTCTCCAAGTGAACGGGATGAAGAGTCACGACTACCACATATGGATTGAGCTGGTAGAGTTGAGCTACTTCTTCCGCCAGCTCTGTGCCAAGGACCCACTTCCCTGGCATGG